AAAAATCTTTTTGTCTACCAGAAGTCCATTATATTCACCTCATGATGTTTTTATTTAACTTGTTGGCTTCTAGGTATAAAAGAAAAAAATTAGATTATATTCTGATATTTGTAGGGGTTTTATAATACCATCTTTGTTCAGAAAGAATACTTGCAGGGTTTCAAACCAGGAGAAGACTTGAAACAAATTGCTTCTGATATTTAAGTTTTGTTACGTGATCCAGAGATTTAAATCTATCTAAGAACTTTGTACAGTCAGATAAATACATTTGGTAGTGTAGACAAGCAAAAAACCAAAACAGACCCTCCCCCTACATTTCTTAGTGGATAATACTTTTCATATATTTCCCCTATGCCTTTTTGAGCTTTTAGGGAAGGTTTGGGAGGCATGTGTCACCTCAACACCAAAGGTTCAATCAACTTCTCTAGCGCAGTGGTCCCCAAACTTTTCAGAGTCATACTTCCCTTATCCCTGTCTGCGCCCCCTGGAGCCAGGAGTGGGACCGCAGCTCCCCTGAGGGGCTGAAGGGGACGTGGATGAGGGTAAGGGGGCCAAGGCTCAGGCTGCAGCTCAGGGCAGATCTGGGGCCAAGACCAGGGCTGGGTGCCATGGCCAGGAGCCAAGGCTGGGGGCAGGGCCAGAGCAGAGCGGGGAGTGGTGCTGGGTGGTGTTCCCTCCCTGCCCCACGTGGGGGCTGGTCCGGGCCCAGCCATGCCCCAAATGTTCCTTCATGCCCGTGTAGGGAGTGCGCCCCACAGTTTTGGGACCTCTGGTCTAGCAGGATAATTTGGAGTCAGGGAGGAATTAAGATAAATTCAACAGGGTTGCTTAGGAGTGGTACGTGGTAATTCTGTTTGAGACCCACTACATAAACAATTGGGGGGAAATCTGTATTCTCTTAATTGAAATACTACTCTATATTTACTCTAGCAATTGTTAAGACAAGAATCATGTTTGTATAGTTTCTTTCATCAGGTTCCTATTTTCTTCCCTTCTCTTCTTTCTAGGTTCTTCCCCGATTTAATGGTAATGGGGAAGTATTTAAAGCACAGATAATGAATGTGAGCTGGTCAGCTGATCATAGAATTATTGATGGAGCTACAATGGCCCGTTTTTCTAACTTGTGGAAATCCTATTTGGAGAACCCTGCTTCCATGCTGATAGATCTTAAATAAAGAACACTAATGCCAGAACACATCCTTAAACTTCGGAGGAATAAACTCGATCATTATAAAAGCTAGCTATGCTAGCATATGTCCGTTTTCTTATTATATAATTATATTATTTGGTTGAAAGGTCTCAAGAGCCTATGTCAGTCTATTGATAACCTGTTCCATTCTTTTCAATTAAAATGAGTAGTTCTGTAGTTTATTCTATGGGAGGCTGTCATACATAATAGGTCATGGTGTGACTTCTAAATGTGATGGGGGGGGGGGGGAAGTATTTAGTGCCTGACTGTGATAATATGTGCTGACTGCCACTAAGCTGACATTACTGAAAGACAGATATCTACATGTCTGCAGTACTTTTAAACTGCTTATTCTGGATAGAAGGGAAGTTACGTCGCAATTATTCCTGGTTGAAAACGGGAATTTATTTTAACAAATCTAATGGAATATTTCCAAGTTCCTGAAAGAAATTATGCAGAAATAATGTTCAAATAAAATATCTTTACGATTATCTTTAAAGATGTCCAGTGGACTTTTTATTGTTTTATGGTGCTAATGTTTCCTCTAGTCCTCTTATACATAGAAAGTTCTTAGCACAGGTACTCAGTATCAGGTGACAATGGAAGATGACAATATCCCCCAAAATTTACTTCCTGCACAGTTTCAGAATATTTACTTGTATCCAACAACTCTTTGTAATAACTCTGTAGAACTGTCTTGCAACACACTCTGGTAGGCTGAAAGTATGTAGGATTGTTTACATACTCTAAGACTTTTCTTCTGGGAAGCAACATCCTGCAAAAGGATGCCATGAATAGGTTTTCCATCACTAACCAAATAGCTGCTTACCACCATAGTTTATAATTACCATAACCTAGCAAACAGCTACTGTGCTCTAAAAGACTGTCGTCACCTTGCACATGACAGCTATTGTTTGTTCAGATACGAAGGTATAACAGATCAGTATTTGATATGAAATAGAATCTGTGTAAACAGCGCATAAGAATTAGATAAATCCTCTCTAAACTCATATGCAAGGCAGACAGTCAATAGGATTCAGGTTAGCACCCCCAGGACAAATAGCATATATGTTGTTTTAGGCTAAAACAATGGACAGTGGGAATGCTGGTTTGCAAATAAGATGCAAAGAAAAACCATTGTGCGCATACACTTTCCAGAGAACACTGAGTTGCAAAAACAATATAGGATCACTATAATGTAACCAAACAATTTGGGGAAGTCAAAAAGGACATTTCATAAGAGACTAATCTCCTCTCTGGAGGGTACATCTGGCTGAATACCTTTGTGGATAAGACCCTGTGGTGAGTAGATATAAGTAACCTGAAAGGTGTAACTGAGGGACCATGAGAAGGAAGGGAGGAAGATGCAAGACCTGATGTGCTAACTGCTTAAGGGGGCGAGGAAGAAACTCTCAAGCTGTGGGGAGAGGATATACACCAGAAATATAAGCTGCTACTCATGTTCCTATGCACAGTGGTTTCTATCTGTATTAGCTTTTGCAGTGTAAGACAAGATTCGTTTTAATCTGATTTTTCTATTAATAAAACTTATGACAAGCTTTGTGCTTTGGATCTTCTTATTTGGGAATTTCATGCTGACAATCCTGAACAGGAGAATAAATCTTCTTCCTATTCGAGATCACAAAGAAGGGGTGCTTGGAGTCTTGCTCTCGTGATACTTAGCAAAAGGACATGGACTAAACGCTATTCACCTATCATTTGTGTTGCTGTAAGGGCTGCAATCCAAATGATGCACGTGAAAACCTTATGACTATGGATGAAAACCAAATTGAAGGGCTGAAGGAATGAGACAACATGATAGGTGCCTTAGAAATACCTTAGATAGATTAAACTACTCTGCCAGCAAAGAGAGCCAGATTTCTATTTTTGTCTGTCAAATCCTTAACAAAATGGGCAGTCTATCTTCTGCAATCATCTCTACTTATCTGAGTAGTTAATTAAATCAGGAAGGAAATTGGGTATTTAAGAGAAGTTTTCAATAACTAAATCAGAAAAAAATCTTAGAGGATTGAAAAGTGAGTACAGTTGGTATCTATAAATGGATGTGGGGGGAACTAACAGGGATCAGGGGGTTAGTGATGGATTATGGAGCCTTTTACCTTCACATGGAACCAGTTCTAATCTGGCCCAGGTTGGTAGTGACAGGAAAGCATTGCCATTTGATGAGGATTTGACATAGTGGTTATGAATCCACTTTACAAAAACTGTCTTCACAAGCAGCACTCTTGGGCAATGTCATTGAGGACATAGTTTTACTGATTCTCTTTCAAGCAGTGAGCTGTGATTTCTGTCCTGTCCTTCTGTCCTGGCTCTCTTGGGATCCAATGTGCTGTGGGCAAGATGGGCAGAGCTGGGGACTGGGTGCACAATTCCCTTAAACCCATTGGGAATCAGTGCAGGGGTTAGACTTCAACAGGAGGTCCCAGGGATGCCTGTGGTTGGGACTGTGCTTTCAGGGAGCTCAAGGAGGCGGGGCCCTGAGCTAGCGCAGAGACACAGAATCTCCAGAAGCCATGTCTGAGATGTGCTCAAATCTTGGAGGATCCATGAAGTTGTGGCCTGCTTCTTTTTTGGGGTAGAGAGACAAACCCCACTTACCTAAAAGTTCACCTTTAATATTTATCAGATGGAATTATCATGCAGAAAGGAGCCCAATCAAGTACTGCTTGGGTGGGAGTGTAGAAGGGGAGGGACAGCAGCATCTCCTATGTAAGTTCCCCTTTCTCCTGATCCTGTGGAAACCTCTGTGCAGGTGCTCTGAACTGTGGGGATTTCTGACTGAAAAGGGAGTGGAGCGGGAGACCACTCACCACAGCATCACATCTCTTTATTTCCACTGGGGTTGTGAAGCCTAATATAGTGATGATCTTGTCATACTGGTTGTACACTGGTTTTCTCTTAATGACATCCCTATTTCCAGAGAATGAGACCTGTGGTCCCAGAGAATAGCAAAACTCTCCTGAGAAAACTATACTGCCTTGGGAAAAGCAGATGGTTATCAGAGAGCTGAGAGTCCTGTGATTCACACTGATTTCAACAAAGTCATCATTTTATAGGACCAAACTCTGCCTGTTCTAATCCAAGCTCCCATGATGGATCATACCTGCCAGGTAAAACTCAGTTTCCTGTGCAGATTTTTCCTGCATGGAGGACAATATGGCCCTTTATAAAAGTTATTTACATTAAGATTCTGGGAGAGGGGGGGAAACACCAGCAAAAACAAAACATCTCAAATTCTTCCTTCTGCAGCCAGAAGTGAACTACTTCTTGGTTCAGTACTATCACTGTTCAGCAGGTATCCTGGACTTTATTGTGAAGAGAAAGAACTGCATAGCAGAGTGTCTGGGAATTTCACAAATGTTTGAATTTACTACAAGTGTAACTGAGCAGAACAATACAAAGCAACTCTTTTCTCTTCCAAATACAGTGCATTTTAGGGTTTAATTTTGCTTTATAATTCTTTTCACAGTAGCCAAATGTTTAATTTTTTTCTGAAACTGTGTTATTTGCAGCAAAACATTGCCAGTATAAAGCAAACAATTGTCATTCTAAACTCTAATCTAGCTTGTGTTATTTGGCATAGCAAATATATTAACTGGCTCTTTTTGATCACAAGTATTGATCTGTGTTTATTCCATAAACAGTTTACACAGGTTATTGTGTTCCAAAAAATGGCAAGACATTCAGTGGTAAATGCTCTGTGGCTTTGCAAAGTAGTCCCATGTGATATCCCAGCAATGTCATGGCTTAAAATTAGAACTGGGCTGGCATTACATTTCACTTAATTGGAGTCTGTATCAGAGACAGACATTAGTAACACAGACAAGATTCATAACCTCGCTCTGCTCTTGCACAGAAATCAATGAGTCGTGGAAAATCTGTGAATACATCAAATGATTTAGGTAAGTTCTAAAATGCTTCCATATGTCTGGAAGTGAAAGTGGGGAGGTGATCACGGGCAGGAGCTCTAGTTACAAGACAGTACATCTGCAGTTATTTTACAGCTAAAATTGGGAATGCACTTCTGAATGGCTGGCAGTTCATGATTGCTATTGTATTATCGTGTCTACTAGAAAGAAGTATAAAGGGTGGGGTCAAAATGTTCTACTTTCAGCTTTTCATAATTTTCTCATTACATAGTTACATCTGTTTAAAAACAAAACCCTATACTTAGGGCCTCATGTGTTCTGATTTCTGTAGCTCTGCAATTTACTGAAGAATTCACTGTCTGCCACAGAACAGTGGTCCAAAAACTAAGTTTTAATTTTAAAATAGATGGCCAAAAAACCCTTCAAATTTTGATGATTACAAGTAGCATTAGAAGCCACAGTCAGGGTTGAGGGTCCCATTATGTTAGGTATCATAGACGCATAGCAAATACAGTTCCTGACATGACACAAGCTTATAATACAGGAATTTGAACTGAATGTCAACTGCTGGAATGTTGATTTCCCAGTCTCCAAACAGCCTAAAACAATAGCTATGGGAAGCAGGAACTGACTGAGCTGTCTCAATGAGAGTTAACTCTGAAGCCTACTAATAACAATTTAAATTCAGTTATGAATCATTTAACAGAAATCTTTAGCTAATGTGTTTAGTCATGTTGGGTGCAAAGGCAGATATTGGGATGAGGAGCAGTGCGTAGCTGGTTACTGGTAAGGGCTACGGGGGTGGGGAATTAATCCCTGAATATACATCAAGACGTTTGTGTTCATACCCACATGGGGCTGGGAGGGAGAAGAGGAAGATGCATCCATTCGCCATTGCAAAAAAGCCTTAACCACTTTTTGGGAGCTCCAAAACTAAACTACCTCTCACACCTTCCTGGGCACCAACAGCCCCAGCTGTCAAAACCTCCATCTTCCCCTCAACAGCTTCTATTCTTACAGCACAGTTAAGAATTAGCAGTGCAAAAATAGTTGAGCCAAATTCTCCTTTTTTACATCAGTGTAGCTCCAGAGGAATTCCATTCTCCAGTCTATATTGTCTTTCCAATGAGGAGCCATTTTCAGTGTTCATTTCTTTATACTTTGTCTACCTTTTTGTATTCTTCTATATTTCTTTGATGTAAGTCCCCATATACAATCTGGCTATTGGATACACCACTGCAATAATAAGAGAAAGGGAAAACATAGTAGGAATACTTAGCTTGGATGCAGAAATATCTAGCAAGTAGGTACCAAATAGCTATCGTAGTGCAGCAGCTGGTTTGGCTCTGCCACATTTAAAAGGCCAGCTAAAAGAAAAGCATGCCGGGAAAGATGCCTTCAAACAAGTGACTCTACACTGGCCATTAGTGGAAAGATGATTATAGGGAAAAGGTTGACATTCCACTTTCATTGTTGGAGGGCAAGCTGTCTGGCTGGCTGAAAAAACATTCTCAGGCTTTTCAGATTGGAGCTGGGTGTTTGAGACAGTATTCCCTGTCTCTTTTCCACCAAGTAGTAGGCATTTATAATAAAAAAAAATGAGGCAATGTTTAATGTGGTCTTAGCATTACTACATAGCCCTACAAATCTATATGCCAACCCTGAACCCCCAATCTAACCCTGCCCCAAACTTTGGGAGAGTTCAGCACCAGATCTGAACTTCACAGTTCTATCTTATTGCTAGAATACAAAAACCCAATACAAGAGTGGCTGAGAGGAACTCTTCCAGACAGGAGCACAGGAATGACCAGGTGTCCTGCCTGCTGGGCACTAGTACCAGAATGTTCAAGAAGCTTCGAACAGGCTATTATTAGTAGCTGGCCTATAGGGCAGCTTTCTTCCCACCCCCCGGCAATTAATAGTTGACTGATCCCCTGATGCATAAAGGTTAACCCTTATATTATTTATCTTGGTTTATGTCACTGTGGATGTTCTCACAATCTGTATTAGACTCTGACCTTTTTTGAATCCTACCAAGCTCTTGGACTCAATGATAGCTCATGGCAGCGAATTCCACAGGCTAATTCTATGCTGAGTAGAATGTATGATCTTCTAGCTGTTTTTACCTTTGTTACTTTTTAACTTAATTGAATATTGGAATTGGAAAAAGGTCAGAAAATGGCAACAAAAATGATTAGGGGTATGGAACAACTTCCGTATGAAGAGAGATTAATAAGACTGGGACTTTTCAGCTTGGAAAAAAAACGACGACTAAGGGGAGATATGATAGAGGTCTGTAAAATCATGACTGGTGTGGAGAAACTAAATAAGGAAGTATTATTTACGCCTTCTCATAACACAAGAACTAGGGATCACCAAATGACATTAATAGGCAGCAGGTTTAAAACAAACAAAAGGAATTATTTTTCCATACAACGCGCAGTCAACCTGTGGAACTCCTTGCCAGAGGATGTTGTGAAGGCCAAGAGTATAACAGGGTTCAAAAAAGAACTAGATAAGTTCATGAAAGATTGATCCATCAATGGCTATTAGCCAGGATGGGCAGGGATGGTGTCCCTAGCCTCTGTTTGCCAGAAGCTGGGAATGGGCAACAAGGGATGGAGCACTTAATGATTACCTGTTCTATTCATTCCCTCTGGGGTATCTGGCATTGGCCACTGTCAGAAGACAGGATATTGGGCTAGATGGACCTTTGGTCTGACCCAGTATGGCTGTTCTTATGTTCTTATCTCCTTATTCTTGTATTATGTGATGAGGTAACTAGGAACACATGATTAACTATTCTATATATGTGACAGGAGTCAGTTGATGTGAGTTCCATCACAGCGCTGCTCAAATTGATTGTGTTTAATTAATCAAATAGGCATATCAATTTTTTTACATTGATGTCTCCTTCTGGCATGTCCAACTCATATGTGGGAATATAATGATGATGGTAATCAGTGTGCTATTCAGAAGCAGATACCTATGGCTGAACCGGAATGTGTAAGAATCATGACTGAAACTGCACCATGCATTGGATCATTCTCTGCTGTTAAGACACTTTGGGAAGTGAGAATTCAGAAAATAAATGAAGAACTACGGAAGGAAAAGGAATTCAGACAGAGGACTGTAGGCAGGTATGTCCCTAATCAGTTAGGAAGAAATGTGAAGCTAAACACAGGTGATATGGTTGGTCTTTTCTGGAACATGCAAGATCCAATCCTGCAATCTTTGCTCAGGTAAAATTCTGAAAGAAATCTGATTTTAGACTCAGGTCTACCAGAGAATTATGTTCAACTGTAAATAGAAATTAGTGCAGCTGCTGATTCGACTGGCATATATATCAAACTACAACAGCTACCACTGTCTTCATAGCACTACAATAGTGTAAAAGAAATTCTTCATGTTTTTATAGCACAAGGTGTTGACAAGTGCCCTCCATTTAGAAACAGTCTCCACTTAATATTATTTTGATCTCTTATCTTCACTGATTAGTCTACGATGACTTGCATGAACTTTACTTGAATTCAAGCTGACTTCATATATGGATGCAAAGAAGCCAACTCTCTTTTGTCTGTGACCAGATTGCTGTCTCTGGTGGATAATCTATGTTATAGCAGCTAGAGCAGTGGTTCTCAAACTTTTGTTCTGGTGACCCCTTTCACATAGCAAGCCTCTGAGTGCAACTCCCATAATAAATTAAAAACACTTTTTTATATATTTAACACCATTATAAATGCTGGAGGCAAAGTGGGGTTTGGGGTGGAGACTGACAGCTCATGACCCCCCAGGTAATAACCTCATGACCCCCTGAGGGGTCCCAACCCCCAGTTTGAGAACCCCTGAGCTAGAGGCTGTGGAAGTGAAAAGGTAAAAGAAGCTTAGTGCTTCTCCCACCCATAAAAAAGCTACAAGCTTCCCTTAAAATGAATGGTGTTTGGGACAGTCCCCTTACATTATTTCCCCCCCTGTTGTTCTTGGTAAAACATTATAAAGCTTGATGGAAGTAGTTAATTTATCTCTATAAAATAATTTACTTCATACAGATTTTAAAATATGATCTCACCGAATTGCAAAACATTTGTACATTAGCCAAAACATTAGAATGCCGTAAATTCTCTAAGCTAATGAACTGCTACATTGCCAGCCCTCCCAAAGTGTATCTAGCATCCCATTAAGATAAATACTAGTCTGACTTCCATGAAGGCTTCTCGCCAAAAAGTTGCCTCTTTGCTACGTCAGGCAATCAAAATGGGATAGTAAATGTTGCTCATATTAACAGCTGCACAACTAAAAAAAGGTCTTTGTTTTGTAGACTGATGCTTGTCTGGGAGGAAAGAAACAGTTTAGCCAAGCTCAAAGAAAAAGTCATCACTGAAGATGGAAGGGTTATACTAAGGATAGAACAAGAAGAATGGAAGGTAATATTAACAGGAAATTGTTTGGGTTGCATGGTTAGTGAATTACAGAGTTAAGCTATTTTACATCTTTAGCCCAGCTAGTATTACTTTTCATCTATTAAGTGCCCACAATATGCTCAGCACTGTACACAGATGATCAGGGACGGACAGTTGAATTATTGCTGTGAATATAAATAAAACCTGATTGTATTGAAATTAAACTTGCTCACTCTAACAGTAGAATATTGAATGCTAAGTAATTTCACGACTGACCAGCAACAGCCCAGAAAGTCTTCCCACATGAACAGGAAAACTTAATGGTATTTTATGTCTTATGCATTTAATTAAAGAAGTATTAATTTTGCTAATGCCCCAGAACTACCAGGGCTAGCTCCAGGTTTTTTGCCGCCCCAAGCAAACAAAAAACAAAAAAACCAACAGAGTGCTGCCCCTTGAAAAGTGCTGCCCCAAAGAGCCGGAATGCCGCCCCTTTAGAAGTGCTGCCCCAAGCACATGCTTGGAATGCTGGTGCGTAGAGCCGGCCTTGAGAACTACACAGACATAACCTGTAATGTGAAAGTCACGTGAAATGAAAAGATTTCTTGGGGTTATTTCTCTTCTCTTTCTAAGGGTGAAATTCATCCAATGGCACAAAGGCTCTCAGAACGGTGGGACCACTGTGGTTCCAGTGCAAGAAAGGTGGGCAGCTGTAGAGTATGTGGCAGGGTGGACCCTACCAATCTCTGTAGGTTGCAGAACTGGCTTTATGCTAGTTCCAGTGTCCACCATGAAGAAGAAGTTGAAGACGAGATGCCTGAGCCAATCTTCCTTTTAAATCATTGGGAATCTTTCCATTGGCATTGATGGGCGTTGGATCAGATACAGGCTGGTGAAGGTGTGACTTCAGCTTACACTGTAACAGCCATGGTGCCTGCCCCAGTCCAGGGAGGTGATGTGTCTTACACAGGAGTTTGCGGAAGATTTAATTCCCTACAAACTGCAGTCCCTACATCCCACACAAACCCTGTGTAACTCATTCAGAGCAATGAATTTCAAACCAAATTACTAAATCTATTCTATAATCATTTTATAGCAAGCAATTATTTAGAAATGTTGCACAATCTTGGAAGTTATAGGTGGTCCTTTTTTAATATAGAACATGTTGTAAATACATTCTACAGTGCAGTTACCTAACAGTGTCATTTTGTTTTGAACAGATGTTATAAAATCCACATGACAGACACTAAACATCATTTAAGTTCAAACATTTTTGTTTGTTTTGCTTCTGGGATCTTGCATTGCTTAGTTCTATCAGTGCAGGTGCCTAAGTTCTGGGTGCAAGCAGAAGGGCTGGTTATTCTTGAGGTGTAATGGGAATTAATTTCTGCATGTTGTATGGTCTAGTGATCAGAAAAGCAAAACTGTTTCCTTCCTCTCTAGCGTAACTCTAAATGTTCATGTTTCCAAAATCTTCCTACACTAACAATTAGTCCATTTTCATTCCATAAACGAAGTGGAATTTCCTTCTGATTTTATTTTTTATTATTTTTAGATGTTACCTGCTTGCTTACTGAAACTGAACCACCTCCAGGAATGGCAGCTTCACAGAATTAGTTTGGTGAAAATTCCTGAATTCATTGGAAGGTTTCAAAATCTCATTGTGCTGGATCTATCCCGAAATGCCATTGAAAAGCTACCTAAAGAGATTGGTAAGTGGTATTTAAATACAACAACAAAAACAAGCCAGTCTGTGTTACTCCATTGGAGCACTGCTTCTGGATTAAGCAGCCGTCACACCAAATCCCATAATTTTCATTAACTGCGTCTTTATTTCAATAAGCAGACCAAGAGCACTCACACTACACTAATGAGCCAACACAATAAAGTAAGATTTAACCCCAGTACTTCACAGCTGAAAGGTTTAATGTATTCCTCAGACCCAATATTCAGTTGGATTCTCTTTGATTATTGCCTTTGCAGGCCAGCTGCCTAACCTCCAAGAGCTGCTTCTCAGTTATAATAAAATTAAGTCTGTTCCGAAAGAGCTAAGTAACTGCATCAGCCTCGGAAGACTGGAACTGGCTGTGAACAGGGATATCTGTGACCTTCCACTTCAGGTTTGAGAAAAACAATTACTTTTATTTATAGGTATATATTAAATGTTTTCACTAGCTAAAAAAAATTATTCTCAGAAAAAAAATTGAACTTCTGTTTTCTTCTAGACTTTAAAATGACATAGTACATTTCCACTGGAAAGTCTTGCATGGACTGTCTAATAGATGGGTTGTTTTCACTTTATTTTTAAGACATTGATTTTACAAATATTTAAAAATATGCATAATCTTTGTTTATATGAATCGTTCCATGGGAGCCAGTGGGACTAACCACATGAGTAACTAAGTATTTGCAGGAACTGAGTCTAATTTTGCCCACTCTTACAGTGGAGTATATAAATAATGGGCCAGCTGCTTAGTTGGTGTAAACTGGCATCAGGCTATTGATTTTAATTAAACTATGCTGTTTTACACCAGCTTAGGATCTGGCCCACTGGCTCAACTATGACCTTAGAGAAGTCACCTTTAAGGGTGAGAGCATAATTCAGGGTGGCCAAACTGTGGCTCTTTTACAGTTAAAGTGTGGCTAGCGGACCCCCCCATACCCTCCCCCATTCTTTGCCTACCAGACTGGGGTGGGGGTGAGCTTGGGGCTTCTGCCCTGAAGCAGGGTGCTGGGGCTAGGGGCTTCTGCCTCGTGGGGCATGCCTGCCAGCGCTTGGGGCTTCTGCAAAAGCGGGGCTGAAGCCCTGAGCCCAGCCAGGCATCTCCCATGCGGCTGAAGCCCTAAGCCCCGGCAGGCACATCCCATCTCTCGAACTTCTGAAGGTTGTCATATGAGGCTTGGAGGGTCAGTAAGTTTGGTCACCCTGGCATAGTTCATTCCTTCCCCATTCAGCTAGTGGTATCTCTACAAAGACTACTGCTTGTGGTAGTGATTTGTGTGATGCAGACAACTGCATGTGCACAAGGAAGTGAATTAACTCCTTTCACAGAGGACACAGGGCAGCTGAGTGTAATAACTTTTGCTCTCTACTTACCTGGGCTGAATCGCAACTGATGACGTACATGTGAAAAGGGATCCATATCTCCATATCAGTCCCTTGGCTACAAAGTAACCAAATACTTCTGATATTTATTTATTTGTATTTGCTACAAAAATTACAGCCCTGACCGATATTAAAAGTAACCTCAATTCCCACAGACTTTACAGGAGACTGAGGATAACAGCGCTGCAACTTTCTCACTCAGGGGTATGAAAAAACACACCCCTGAGTGCAGCAAGTTTCAGTGCTGTAAAGCACCAGTGTAAACAGTGCACCAGAGCTGGGAGCCACGCCCCTTGTTGAGGTGGGTTTTTTAGAGCTCTCTCCCAGCACTCTGCCGCAACCACACAAGGCACATTAAAGCTCTGCCAGTGTAGAATAGCCCTTAGGGTGCTTGGCGCACTGCAGAATTAAGTCCAAACATTAAGTCTGTAAAACCCAACAAACTGGGCAGCTTTAAAATAAATAAATATAGAATATTAACTGAATATCAGAAGTTACCAAATTTATCTGGCAGTTGTTTGACTAGCAAAGTTAGCAATATTTTATGATGGGGTGATCAGATGTCCCGATATTTGGGAGTTTGTCTTATATAGGCTCCTATTACCCCCCACTCCCTGTCCCAATTTTTCACACTTGCTGTCTGGTCACCCTCTTTTAGGAGGTCAAGTGAATGTTTCCTGACAAAAATAAATTTTAAGACTCTAGACCAGATTCTTATTTATACTGAAGTCCCTTTACATCACTGGAGCAATAGTGTAAATGAGATTCTGGCCCTCTGTCTTATCTCATGCAACCCAGAATCACTTGTCTGGCATGGATTCCAGAACACGGTGTAGTATTTTCAGAATTTTTCTGTCTTTGTGGCCAACATGGTTAAATAACAGCTGTGATGGAACATCACTTACTGCACAGTCTGTACACATGTGCATTAAGGAATCCTATTCATGAGTCTTCCCTTTTCTATTTAGCTCAGTGACCTAAAGAAGCTTTACCATGTAGATCTGAGTATGAACCAATTTACTACCATCCCTTCAGCTCTCCTGAACATGCCAAGTCTAGAATGGTTAGACATGGGGAGCAACAAACTTCAGCAACTCCCTGATACGATTGACAGGTAAAAAAACCATTCTTAGTTTTAATTCCATTGCATTGAAAATTTAGTTACCCAACTCTGTTCTAAAATATTAACAAGTATCAAACAAAATAAAGCAAGCTACTTATACTGTTAAAATAACTGGAATATCTCAGAGCAGAATATTCCCTTACGAGAACTAATTTTTTTTATTCAGAAGGAAAATTGCTTGCAACTGAGTTGATACTTAATAAGACATTAACTTCCTGTTGTCAAGTTAAATCTTCTTGCTGTAGAAATTTTCAACTTATAATTGAGGCTACTATCTTCAACCTCTGTTTCCTAAGATTAATGTCCTTTTTTATGCATCTCTATGTTAAAATATAATTTTAAAAGTTGTTTTTTCTTGAATATATCTCTACATATATTTTACATAATTGTTCTAGGTTGCTGTATGGTACCTTTGTGTCTGTAGGAGAAAAGGCTTTCAAATGTATCACATTGTATTACCAAAATTTCCACCAACCAGTGGTGTGGAGCTGGGAAGGGCAGCCCATCCCCTCTGCCATGCCGTAGGGTGACACCATTGAACATGTGCATGAGCCAAGGATGCAGATGCCAATGTCTGCATCCCCTTAAAACTTAGTCATCCCACTAGTTAGTCCAGCTCTATGTTAAACTGTACAAACTACATGTTTGGCATAGGAACCGTTTCAAGAAGTGATATAAATAATGTTCAGATGAAATCATTGAAATTATGATTCTGTAGATTTTATGAATCAAATGACACCTCCCTTACCTTTTTGTCATTAACTTGCCCACAGAATTACACACGCTCCCAGACTGTTAAGCGTTACTGCATTCTTTATATCAGATATATGATTGTTGAAGTGAATCAACTCCTTTAATCATCAAGGATTCCCTAATGCTGGATTAATTGTAGAAACCTCTACTTCTACAGAATGGAGAACCTACATACTTTATGGCTCCAACGGAATGAAATAACCCATTTACCAGAAACCATCAGTAATATGAAAAATCTGAGTACTCTTGTCCTCAGCAACAACAAACTCCGGGATATTCCTGCTTGCATGCAACAAATGACAAATCTCAGGTAAAATATCAACAATACTGCAGGTACCTGAAGGCTGCCTTTAAAAATTCCCCCACAGTGCAAACTGCTGCATAACAAATAGATAGGGAGCCGGATTCTCAGCTGGTGTGAACTGGTATAGCTCCATTGAAATCAGTGGAACTACAGATTTATGCCAAGTGAGAATCTGGCCCAGAAAGTTTTATGACAGTATTGAGTTCCTTCATTTCACCAAATGGATTTATTGCAAATGTAAATACAGTATTTAGAGTCCCAAAGGTTAAGAGAAACTTTAGGTTCTTCTTGATCTGTGAGGTTTGTGGATGCTGGCCTTTCAGTGGAACAGTTGGGCATCACTATTTTAGCCTCTCTCATAACACAAGACCAAGGGACAAAAATTGAAAAGCAACAATTAAAAACTGATAAAAGGAGAACTTTTTATAAAACATATTTCACCTGGGGAATTACTGCCACAAGGTATCAGTGAGGTCAAGAACCTAAAACCCTTCAAAAAAGGTTTAGATACTAAGATATGAATAATGAGAATATCCATTTATGTTTGGGGATAAAAATGTGAGCTATAACTCTTAATGCTTCAAGATATAAGCTAACCAGGAACTGACGGGAAAACTTCTTTCAAATCCTTATGGGCAGATTGTTTTTTTTTTTTATTCACTATGGCAGGGTTCTTGTTGCTTTCTCTTAAGTACTTTCATTCTTAGAGACAGGATACCAGACGAAGGCTATGTCTCCACTTGAAGCTGAGAGTGTAATTCCCAGCTCTATACGTACCTGTGCAAGCGCTGCTTGAGCTACTATGGTAAAAATAGCAGTGCAGCTAGGTAGCACGAGCTGGGGCTCGGGATAGCCAGTTGAGTTCATACCTACCTGGTCTGATGTAGTATAGCAATTCCTATGTTTTCAAGTTATTTGGGGATGCTACTATATCTAGAGATGCATAAACTTTATTTACCAAAAATAAAAATTCTCATGTGCAATAGATCTAATTTAAATATTTTGTTCTGGTTTCAGAGTAAACATCTGCTTCTGTATCCTGATGTCAAAATATTACGAAAATATATAACGTTATCTTACTGTGCAGTACAAACATGTACTTCAATAAACATAGGGATAGTAAGAACACCTGAATTTGTACACTGGAGATCCTAGATTTGCTTGAATTGGCCTTGGTACTGACCACAGGTACTAAGGCCTATATTTTCAAGTGTGCGCACAAAATATTAAACATGATAAAATATTAAACAAGGGCTTCCTTGTTAAACTGTACAAACTACAAGTTTGGCATAGAAACCATTTTAAGAAATGATGTAAATAATGTTCAGATGAAGACTATTTCTAAATCAGTTAAGATAAACACATACCACACCACCATTAAGTAGAGAAACTATTTGAAAGATAATACCCGGAGAAATTGCCCTTAATTACATTTTCTTTTGCTGAAGCACTCTTCAGTGCAGCCTA